GCACACAACCACACAGAGAAGGGGGGAGAGAGAGAGAGAGAGAGAGAGAGAGAGAGAGAGAGAGAGAGAGAGAGCTTACCCACGATGCTTGTGGTTAACGAGTCGTTGACAAGCGTGCAGAGGTACGTTGCCAGATTTAAGACGAACGCTGAGGCACAGCAGGAGAGCAAAAAGCAAAAAAATGAAGAGCCCCTCTCGGAGATGAGGGAATTGAACGAGGGCCAACCCTTCCCCATTGACAAGAACCAGCAGCAGAGAGAACGGTAGCGACCAGCAATTGTTGTACAGCAGCAGTGTGAAAGAATCAAGCTGGAGTTTGAAAGAATCAAGCTGGAGTTCTTCTCCTAACTTCCCTACAATGACCACATACGCTGCAGTGGCCATAGCTGACGAGAGGGCCTGAATGTAACCCACAAAATCAAAGGTGACATCGCCAATACCTGCGATCAACCCCCCTGCAGCCGTGAGATACACAGCCATCTGAATGCGCGGYGCAGCACGCTTATCCCGCATTATGTAGTCGAGAAACAACGCAAACGGCGTTGTCGAACTCTTCAACACACCGTACATTGGAATATTGACTAGCGAAAGAGCTGACATGTCCAGAAGAAGCTTAAGTAAGAATGCAAAAGAGAGGAGGAAAACCTGCACAACAACACACACAGAGCACCCGCCAACCGACACACAGACGCCAAACGACACACAGACGCCAAACGACACACAGACGCCAAACATCATCCATCCGTGGACCTCAAAATAGACGCACAATTTTGTCAATGTCGCGTTTCATTCATTGCAGAATTTGACAGATGCCCCTCAGTTCCATCTGAGCAGAGCTTTTCCCGACTTTGGGACTCGACCCACTACTAAATGTTCTACATGCATCTGGACTCGCAGCTGGACCAGATGCATTTGGACCGATCCAACTTTTGCCCATGTTTCCTGCCCATTCGCAGCTCCACATGCATTTCAAATGTTCTGCAGTGGATGGAGGCACTTTAGATCCGCCCCCTCCAAAAGAGAAAAGGCCAATCAATCTGAGCAGGGAATTTGAAAGACCTGAGTTTAATGAAGTTTAAATCTGAGTAGCCTCTGCAGACAATAATGTTAAAACAAACAACAGAAAAGTTATTCACATCCAAGCAGGGCGGGTGTTGATGTTGAAAAGGATGTGGATATTATCCCTCTGCTTGCCGAGGGCTTGTCTGGACCAGCCATCAGTATCTACCAGAACACTATCGTCTTTGCCTTGTCCGAGTTCCACGAACCGGGTCTACTTTCTGACCCCAATTCCTATTCATTCATACAACGTCAGAAAAAGTGTGCCCGGCTTGAGCCTCATTGATCGTTTCCAACGTGAATCCCCCGGCTACCCTTTCACTTTCCTCCCCCTCTCCCTCCTCTTCTCCCCCTCCTCTCCTCCCCCCTC